CTAAAGACAGTTCAACTCAGCTCACAATATAAAGTGACATTAAGGGATGTCTTGTGTCTAGGTTTTTATTTGACTTTGTATTGTCAGGGTCTGTTTATTTAAGGATAACTTTAGGTTATAAAAATAGGTTAAACATCCTTTCACAGAAGTTCTTTGCAACACACGAAAATATTTGCTAGAAACTAAAGTTTTACCCAATTTGAAAGAGTCCAGGCAGAAAAGGAAAACGAGAAGCTGAGTGACTTCATTCGGTTGAATCGTTCTAGGTAACAGATTCCGGCGTTCCATATCTTGAATAAAGATTTAAAATCTGAGTCATAATAACTTCTTAATTAAAAAAGAAAGATCTAGAATTAAGTAAATACACGTCGAGGAAAAATGAAACTGCCGAAAATAAACGTGTCCAGTAAAATCAAAGCTGTGGTTCGAGGGTATGTGTTTAAGCCGATTCTTTGCCAAGTAAAGTCCAGTTCAAATGCACCCAAGGAGTTGTGATCCGAATTAGCGAACCAATCGGCAACAATCAAAGCAGAATTGAGAACTTTGTGCACAGAACACCATAAGATGGATTGGTTTTGACAAGGAGAAAATGCTATAAACAGGGATAAGTCTTCAGAGTAGGGACCGACGTTCCAAACATTCATAACTTAATTGACAAGAGAAATGATTCCCCCAAAATAAATAAGAAGTGAAATACGGTAAACTAACTCGTGTGCTTAGGGTATTTGCCTAATAAACCTTATACACATTAAAACCAGCCTAAGCGCGATCTAGCCGTGTAAATGGAAATACAGTTACAGGTCACCCACTCTATAAACATAGCTTGCATGAAACGATAATAATACACACCTCCGGCCCTGCATTGGCGGTAGATTTAAGCCGCCCGTAGTAATCGATTCTTTTCTGTTAAGAACAAAGAAGGAACCTGCTAAAGTAAATTGACTTTGTCTCGGCCGCTGCTGCTTTTGAGCTTCATGCCCGAGACACAAAAGACAAATTGCCGTATATCTAACTGTTCGATTCATACTTATTCCGACCTCAGCCTGGGGCGTATGCTGTAACACATGCCCGTTTTAATTCAGCAGTATGATCCTGTTGCAGTAGAAAAGGGCATTCATTCTAGAGGGAAATTGTTTTTCCTGATATTACTTCGACATTATCTGACCAAAGTGAGCGCCGCGCCGGTATTTAGAAGCTAATTGGTTTTTCATTAGTGATGCAATTTACAAAAGTGAGCGACATGTCAACGAGTAAGGCTCTTAAATAGAAGAATCTTAAGAATCTAGCAAAAAAGCAATAATTTTGATAACAATCAAGACATTATATCATTCTTCTCTGAACATGATTGACACTTATTTCAGCTCTTTGTTTCGATTTCGAGGTATTTTATCTATGCCTATTCCATTACCGTTCATCGTTACTGTTTCCGGGTTACGACTCAGAGATAGCTCACAAAGTGAATTATCGCTATTGCTTTATTCATAATAAAACTGGAACGCTATACGTACCTAAAAACTGTAAGATGTAGGTGATAACTGTTATCTCTTGCCGCAAGTCAATAATTCAAATCATATATTGTGTGTTAAGAAAACTCCCAAAAAGGCCTTAACTCCGGCCCCACGCCTTCCTTGTCGAGCTCCTCATTTCAGAATCATGTTTTTGTAACATTTTTCACTATGGCCAGGGGGGTAGTAATGTACCATTACACCCGACATAATTTAGCCAGTATACCCAAAATTCGCCCAAAATGTCCCTCAATATATCCGCGACCCTAAGGAAAACAGAGTATATACGGTATCTTTACGTAAAAACAAACGGTATTCAGTTTAAAATCCCGGCGATATACCGAATACCCAAAAACTCTGGCCGACCCTGAGAGAGGTTTCAGCCTTGAATGCAGAAATGCGCGCTTTGAGAAAGCTGGATGAAATTGTAATCAGTATGAAAGCTTCCGGTGACATAATTCCTACATGTCCTCTTCAGCCGTACACGCCCAAAACCTGTTAACATAGAAAAGTAGAGCTCTCAATGAAAGGCCATCGTGTAAGGTCACTTTCGAGAGTTTAATAAGATAAAAGAGCTCAGCTAATCATGGCGAACTGTCCGTAGGAAATTGATTTCAAGGATTTATTTGGTCGGCAAAAGCGACTGGAGGCAAAGCTATAAAGAAAAAAGGAAAGAAAGAAAGGTGGAAACTAAAGCAGAAAAAAGGAGAAAAGAAAGAGAGATCTTAGGTAGGAATGCGCGTGTTCGTGAGGATTCGAAAACTATTTATAAATATAGTCAAGGTTTCACTTAGTGATGTGTATTTTTTACAGCGAAACTTGTCTAAATTTGGCCTCTGAATGACCCTCTTGCTCTCCACTGAGATCCCGCTCGCGTCGCTGAAAGAGTTATTAGAGGACACTCCCTCGTATTACGAGAAGAAACAAAAGAGAAAAAATTTATCACTGCGCTGTTTTTGCTAATGTCTTTTGTTATCTACAAAAAAGCAAGTAGTTTTGTCTTATCCAGCCAAAAAGGTCACCTTTGACTATTAAACCTCTTGCAGTTATAAGTATAAACTAACAAACCAAACTTAGCGGGAACTGAGGATGATATCCGTGTCGCTAGCCGAGTTTTATGTCTCTAGTCGGCTTAAAAAGATAAAAATTCCAGTTTATTCCTATCGTGATAAATTCTCTAAAAGATAGAAAGAACTAGGGACCAGAAAATTCCAAGTCAATACACAAGTCAAAATAAACAAACATCTGTATGCATTCCACTGAGTGACATTTCAAAGCCATCAATAATTATTCACAAAAAAAAACCCTGCCAAGCGCCTACGGAGCTAATCTACCAAAAATACGTCGTTTTGACGTGACAAACGAAAGTAGCTAAACATCTCCAGACCTACTCGCCATATGTTATGAAATAGATATATGTTACAGATGTGAGCTTTGCTGTGGCTAAAAAACTAAGCCGTCCGGCTTTAAAATCTCCCACCGATCTGCCACGTTAACGCTTTTGAACCTCTAACTGTTCGAACACAAGAAATCTCAATTTATTCCTAATATACGGAATAGGTCCTATGAAAAATGGGATAAAAACTTATCAATCAATAAACGGACGAGCAGAAGAGAGTTTTATATGGAGTACAAAAATGTAATTTCTAGAAATAGCGGGCGCGATCCATTCAACCAAAATTTCCGGAAATTTCGGTCTAAAACTCAATGGATCGGTTCGGTCCAACCGGAAAAGTTTCGAAAAAACAGGTCCACCTTTTGAGGTGGTCCTCTTTTCCCGGTCGGACCGGTCTGAATGTTGGTTGAATGGATCGCGCCCAGCATCTCAAAATCTATCAGTACCAGTTGCACCTCGTATGAATGTAACTTAAAAGCTTCTCTCACTCAAGGGTTTTGTCGAGACTGGATTTCCGTGACTAGCTGTAATTAACTGAAATTCATTTTCCAGCTGGAATAGCCTCTGTTGATGTGTGACTTACAAAAATATGGTGTGATTTACTCTCATTCCAAGTTATTCAAGGTTAAATTTTAGCCCGCAGTTCAGTTTTCCTCTTTCTTACATATCTGAAACTGCTAAAGCGGAGAAGCACTCGCCAGCGAGCAGTCTGAAAGCATTTAGCCCGCCTCCTTAAAGGACGATTACAAATCCATTAGCAGCTCAACACTTTAGCAATTTATCACTTACTTAAGCTAATCAGTAAGGGCTTGAAGACTAAACAACAAAACTTCTTTTTTACATACTTCCTTAAATCATCAGTGGCTAAAACCTTTTTGTGTCCATATGCGATACTTAAATCAAAGTCTTATGGTATCACTGAAATGGTAACATGTCTACGTGACTTTTTAATTTCATGAATTAGGTTTATTTCGCACCTAAACTTATCAAAGAAAGGTGCTAGAAACCACATTCCTGTGGCACGTCAATGTGAATTAGATTTGCTTAAGCTGCGAGATCGTTGGCCCGAAGTTAGAAAAAAAACAATGGCGACGAGATTCGTGTTTCGTGAAACAGTGCAAAGTTCATCCCCCCCGTTAAATACGCTTGGTTAACGTTTGAGGGAGACACTGAAACACTTAACACATGGGGGCTGAAGGAAGAACAGCGTGAAAATTTGGAATTAAGAAACCACGTGTGAGTTCTCACGTTATCTTCTATTTTCTTTTGTCGTGTTCGATGGGCCGTTCCCTCAAAACTTCAAGGCACTAAAATGACTCAAATTTATCGACTGATGTAGCGATATAAGCGTAGATAAACTATAATTGCCGTTGACAATGCCCATTGGCTTGCGTGTTTTATTAGTCGTCCAACTGTCACTGCAGTGTATAAACACCGAGGTCATCTTAAAATTACTGCTATTGTGTCAGCACTGCAGCCCTACTTCTCGCCACACTCTGTTAGTCACAGTGAATCCTATACAAATCTGCTCACCTTCAGTTTTGATAAAATCGCCCTCGTGTAGCTCTTAAAGCTGCCGATAAAATGCTTCTGACATGTCGCAAATTGTTCGGTGTATACGCACTCTAGAACGTCCGCCGCGGTTTTTTTTTACTGACGAAGGCGAAACCGACATGAACGTATACTAACCACGAGAAAGAACCTTGCTGATAAAGCAGAAATATTCACGCAATGGCATTATGGAGTGATAATAGCTTCACATGGATAGCGCGCCGCCGGGGACTGTTATCGGCTTTTTCATAATCCCACAAGGAAATTAGTTAAATCACTTCCCTCGCCAGGCCTAAATCTTTTAAACCTCGAAGCCCCAATTTAAAGTTTCTTGGCATATTTCTGAGTTAACCATTGGAGAGGAAAACTTCAGCGTACTTATGTTGGCTAACACTAGAAGCGCGCAGTGTAATGTGTAATTGACTGTCAAATTAGGATGTTTGTTAGTCTCAGCTTGAATGACTGACACTGGTGTTTATAGAACTCTGTAGTAATACCGCCCACCTTATCCGATCTTATATAGGGCTATTTAAATGGAATGCCTGTGACGCCACTACGCAAACGGCGCAAAACTTTCTCATTGATTTGAACGCATACCATATGCTAACAAGAGGAGCAGGAGCCATGTTGTTTCATCAGATCGGGCTTGGTTTTATGTTCATTCATGTTGTGTACCTTTCCGCCGTCCCTATTCTCCTCGACGAAAAAAAGAAAACCTCCACCGCGTTATCCACTCACTACGAAGACGAGACAACCAGCAGTAGTAGCTCAGAGCCGCCAGAGCCCTGGGAAGTGAACCAACACTTGACTAACCGTTACATTGAAGGTGTGCACGTCTTCTGTCGTCTTTTAAGTCAGCGCGCTTACATCTACGTAGTTGCAGAAATCCTTTGATTTACCGCTTGTCGCCTTTTATCAGTAACCGCAACGTAAATTGCTCGCAGTTCGGATCAACGCTTTGGCAAAGTGGTTTTTGAACAAGTTGCCTTCTTTTGAAAAAGAGCGGGATTTAAGTGCTTGTTGATGGCAGTTTTCCTCTCTTCACGTAAATGTAATTAACCTTGTTGCATGTGTTAAATAGACATCTTTTCAGGTAACCTAAGATTCCGTGATGGCAGTACTCTTTACCAGGGAGATATCGTTTTAGACTTTCGAACACGCCTTCTCATCCAAGGAGGACACGTCCGACGAAAGCGAGCTGTTAAAAAATTAGAGAGGTCGCGTTGGCCCAACGGAGTGATTCCCTATATTGTAGACAGAGACTTAGGTAAGAATAGTTCATTTTCAAAGTAACCACAATAACCAGATTCATGCCTCACCATTTTTGACATTGAGTTTGGAAGAGAAGTAATCGCTATGAGACAAAAACAGTACTTGGTAGTAAACACCAATCCAAGCCAGCTGTCACTGGCCTAAAAAAAGACAATTTTGCCATGCTATTAGGATTTTTAGTGTAAATGAAGTTCTTTAATCCACCGCAAATAAACCTTAAGCGTCAGAGCGAATAAGGATGCAGAATTCCGGCTGTATTTTTACTACTCTCCACGACTTGACTGGAATAACTTAGCCCACGCGACAATTTATGTACAAAAGACTTATGGTAATGCTCTACCAAAAAAACGACCTTCTTCTAATGAGTTAAAATGACTCGGAGACGTTGATTGCTTTAGAAACCCCACCGTTGTCCAAATGAGGAGCAGGAAGGGCTCTACAATTTACTAAATCGAGAGCCAAAGAGCTCTGTTTTCCTCATAAAAAGGCTAGGGATACATTTCTCGGTAAATATGTGTAGTGGATATCGGTGGCTTGAGCAATTAATCACACGACGTTGTATGTTCATTAGGATGTCGAAGAAGAGAAGGTCGAAGCGTAGACAATGCCTTGTCATTGTGTTGCTCAATTTTCAATGAACTTTTCGCTGTCATTGAATATTTTAAGCGATAAAGGGTCGACAGCCTGACTCCGAGTCTACGGAAGAGCACACAGTTTCCCATTTCATAGAGTGTGTGTATGCACGAAGGCGGAGCCAAGTCAAAGTGTAATTGATGCTGTATTCTTCTCTATCAACAATGGCCCCATTGCCGTCAATTTTAATTTAATTACGATATAAACTACTTAATAATATGTGCTGTAACTTCTTTTTGTTTCTTCTTTTCTTAGCTCAGAAAACCAAGAAAGAAATTAGGAAAGCCTTGAGACACTGGAAAAGGAAGACGTGCCTGAATTTCCGGCACAAAAGAGACGGCGATACAGATTATATTCGCTTTGTTTACGAACCCGGGTAAGGATTATTAGTGCCTCTTACATTGACTTGAAATATTCATGAAGTATTCCTCACTTTCCGGTTGCTCTAAATACTTGCACAATGGGAAACACACGCAAGCAGCTATCTTTTAACTGTTACGAAATGAAAGGGTATTGTAGAAGCGGCGAAGCTAAGGAAGTGCTTCAGCTTCAACTTTAACAGTTATAGAGTATCTCTTTAGATCGGTTTGTTCCAACATTAAACATTATCTGTTATGTAATTTCTTAAAACCGTACTAAAACCAAGTTGCTCAAAAGGCCACACAAATAGCTGAAAGGTTTTAGCACTCTAATTTGCGAAGTCATTAACGCTCCTTCTTAATGACAAGAGGAGGACGAGAGAGGCCGGAAACTCGATGACATTTATATCGTTAATTAACTCATTCAAGTGTGGTTAGCAATAAGCGTGGTAACTGGCCAAGCGATACACATACCGGAAAAGTATTGATCGGAGTGTTATTTTAGTTTTCCTTCTTGCTTTCAAAGCAAACAGAAAAAAAGAAAACATTAATAGCGACTTACAATGGCCGAACATCAGAGGAGACAGCAAGATAAAGAAATGGTTTGATTAATTGCCGAGGCGATAAAACCGCGTTTGAATGGCGGACGGCCGTGATTTGCTGAAAGGGTGTGGAATTAACTACAAACAAACATTTGACAGTTTTTCTATTGTTTGCAAATGTCAATAATAATGAAACGTTTTATCAGGACTTAAAATTATCTTGTGGCTATCAAGCATCGGCTCATATAAGCCTAAGACTGCAAAGTGCTCCCACTTACACAATCCAACAACTAAACTGGCGTTTCGTTTCGTTTCTATAATTCGTTTCCTTTTTCTTTTTACAAACCTCTTTATAACTAATTAGAGGTGTTAATGAATTTTTGAACAGCTATAATATCAAGTTTTTGCCTCCAATTACAAAGATAAAGGTGACACGATAACTAGTCGAAAACAGGCGAAGAATGAGAGCAATTTATGAAATTACCAGATTTCTATAGCGACATAATAGTGGCCAGGGTGCAGTTGCTATTAGACGGTAGAATATCCATCTGAGATCGGTTAACCAATATCCGAGCTCTCTTCCGCGTTCTTGCATAAAACGAATCTTTAAAATGATACAAATCATTTGTGGACATATTGGAAACACCGAAAACTTTTCACAGACGGGAAACTTGTCCAAAGATTTCGATAAAAGAAGTCCCCTAGGTCGTTCGTACCACCATTTCACTGAAATAATATTAAAAAAACTGTTTTTGTTTTCATGAACTGAATCATGAGAAAATAGACGGGGAAATCAGATTGAGTTAATTGTTTTTGCTCAGGTTCAAAACTGAAACTAGAGATATTCAGTAGCCGTTTTATGAGGATTTTACGGAGTTAAAGACGATTCAACGACTTTTAATATGCTTAATTCAGGCTGAGTTCCCTTTAAAACGAACTTCCGATGTCTTCTTTCACTGACTATATGTTTGCAACAAATGTCCCACTTTCGAAAACATGCAAACTAACAATTTGCCAACATATCATCTTCGCCTTGTTCCGTGGTAAACAACTCTAACCGTAGTCTACGTGTCAATTCACTGACCTTAAAAGGACTTTGTGGTTCACGCCTGTCTGGTGGCCACACGAGGAGCGATTGTCAGTTTTCACGTGGAGTAAGGAAACCAGTCACCTGAGAAGTATCCCGTCAATTCTTTAATTCTCGTCTTTGTAAACATGGGTTTTTTGCACGCTTTATAGTGCGGGGACGTCTTTTGACCATCTTATTAAGTTATGCAAAATAACTGATAAACACGATGACTGAAACGAGTCCTTGGCTATCAAAACATGCAGTAATTTACAAGTGTGTGTTCCCTTAACCTCATTCTGGATTTTCGCTTCGATGCTATTTGTGAGAGAAATAAAATGCTGTTGAGTAAGAGTTTATAAACGCAAAGGTGTCGACGGGCTTCTTTATTACCGTCCACTATTGGTATTGACTTTAACCGCTTGCAGGAGCCCATAACCTGTCTTTTGTACGAACGGGACTGAAACATACAAATCATCACATCTACGCTGATATTTTGCGGTTAAAATCCTACTCCGCTAACAGTTTCTTTGCACTTCATTTTTATAACTGGCAGATGTTGGTCTTACGTTGGCCGAGCAGGAGGAGAACAGAAATTGTCAGTAGGCCCTGGCTGTGAATTTATGGGCACTATCATCCACGAGATTGGGCACGCTGTAGGTTTCTGGCATGAGCAAAGTAGACAGGATCGTGATAATTACATTCGGATACTAAAGGAGAATATACAAGAAGATGCAATAGATCAGTTTAGTGAGTACCTGTTTGTATTCTCTTTAGTTTCAAATGGTTGTTCATGAGAGGTTTTGAGAGTAATAAGACCCATTTCAGAGAAAGTTTTATTGGTTCTTGGTGAATGGCTTATCGTAAGCACAAACCTTTTAGGCTTAACTACTTGCAGTTTGCAGAAAGGAAGAATTTCTGCTTTAATCAATATACCGTTCTCGTTTAATTTAAGTTAAGGGCGCAGTTTTAAAGCTGTTTAGTTTGACATAGTTTAGTTGCTTTTCTGGAGGCTTTGAAGTTTGAATTAGATGAAGAACTAAGGGGATGATCTTTTTTGGATTTCTAATACAGTCTGTAATTCATTATGTTACACGTGGTTAACATCATGATTTGTTATTCTGAATAGCGCATTCAGAGTCTCTCAGCTAATTACTACATTGCTTGTCAACAAGCAAACAACGCCAGTTTGATGGCTATTCTGAGTTAGATACTCAGTCAAGGTTGCAGAAGATAGACTCGTCACCCACTAAACTATAGGTTATCAAGGAACAAAGAGGTCGAAATGTTGTCTTGAACATTTGGCTTGATTGTCAGTAAATGATTTGTCATTTGCTAAACTGGAAAAATAAATCCTCGTTTTATTTAGATAAGATGCCAAAGAGAGTTATGGATTCTATGAACTACGAATATGACTACTTCTCTATTATGCATTACGGTACGAAGTTCTTCAGCAAGAACAACAAAGCAACCATCAAAATTCGGAAGAAAGGAAGAAGAATTGGGGCTGAGATTGGCCAGCGCAAGGGACTTTCTTGGATTGACATCGCACAAGTTCATGCCATGTACAACTGTAATAAAATACCTTCTGAAGAATCAAGTGAGTTAACAAAGTGTGCTAACAAAACGTTTTTCTCCTTTACATTTATTGTATAATTAAAAAGGAGTTCTTAAGAAGAGAATGCTCGTAAGGGTGGGTGCTCTTTTATGCCACTTTCAGCATCTTTTCACATTACTCACATTACATGGAACTACCACATTGTCTGTAAATTTTTCATTCACAACTGCTTCATTGTCTTAGATAACTTATAATTCAATTCTTATGCAAACGTTCAGATTGACTATTTATCAATTATTCCTCCAGCCCAAATGGGCTCTGAGTCAATAGCCCTTTGAGGCTGAACGCCGAATGGGCTATTGACTCAGAGGCCATGAGGGCGAGAGGAATAATTGTTTTAGTAAAATCCAGCTGGTTGGTAAAAAATATCGAGACAAACAACTTTAACTAGCAAAACGCGATTCAGCCGCCATTGTTTTGGTTTTCAAAGCCGGCGCTTTTCATCACTAGTGGGCTATAACATATAGCCTAGTAGTAGCTCAACCAATAAGAACGCAGCACTGATAATAGACCAGTAGTTAGATTTTACTAAAAAACGTTATTTCACTTTCCTGCGATTAATCAAGTCTTTCTGTCTCTAAGAACCATTTAAGCATTGTTCCCACCCAGCTCAGCCTCTGTGCGAGGAAGCTCTCGGGGGGCGGAGATGGGGGAGGGGAAGTAATCTCTGCCCCCGGGATCGCTTGCTCGCAGGCTATTCTTAGCTGAGATTGATTGCTTTATTGTTCTTTGGATAGCCGTTATTATAATTAATGCAACAATGCGATCAATGTTTCAAACAGTGTTATGTAGTTCTGGTGTTGCTATTCTTGGGTCTTTCCTTCATACGTGATCGATGAGACGGAAAATTAAGGTTATTCCTGTTAACGGCGCAATTCATACAGCACTGTACTATTAAAGAAACCTAAATAACCTAGTAGTAGTATTATTTTTATAACCTAAATAACCTATGTAGTCTACAGGACATACTTTTCAATGTTTTAGGACATTTGGAGATCACAGATGCCTTTAACCCTATACATCGGAAAAACAGTGAAACTTTTGGTAAACAAGCTGTGAAAATTGAACTTTTAAAGCTTTTCTAGGGTGCTCTCAGAAATTGAGATAATGTCTAACATGGAATTTTCACATACTCATGAGGTATTTCATCTCCTTTTTTCAGAAACTTGTTACAATAGTTCATCGGGAGACGGACGTGATTACCGAGGAACATTAAACTATACAGAGAAAGGTGTCTTGTGCCAACCCTGGAATGAGAGATGGCCGCATGATCCTAGGGAGAGAGAATTGGCTCTTTCTAAGAGAGAGGGACTAGGCAGACACAATTATTGCCGAAATCCGATGGGAAGACGCTCGCGTCCTTGGTGCTATACGACGCTCAAAAGGCCCACGTGGCAATATTGTGACATTGTGCTATGTAATCAAACGATACGCACCGATGGAGATGACACTTGAAACAAGTGCAACTGTTCAATGACCTAGAAGATGTATTGATGCGTGAGTGCTTGAGGAGCACCTTTGCCGCACAGTGAGGTGGTCCCTCGGTTAGGGACCATTCCCTTCAATACAAGTATTCTTCATTCAAGAAAAATATACATGAACAAGAATGTAAGCAATCAATTCAAAACGAAATACGGTAAGGAAGAAGTAGACTACTTTAATCAGACACGCTGACAGTCTCCGCCGCAAGTAAAGTCATTGGCATGTACAGATATTACGTGGAAGAGCTCATAATCCACGAAAAACATTTTCAAAGAGACAAAGTTTTATTTAACTTCAGCGATATAAGACATTGTTTTTGGAGGAAGCGCAAGTAGAAAGAAGAGATGTTTGTGGAGAGGTCTGTGGAGGCTGCGGTTTGGGCAGTTTTCTTCTGATTCTCACTGTGACCTTGGGGAGGGAAGGACGTGATGTATAATGTAAATTTTATGTAAGGACCGCCGATTTACAGCTGTGTAAATGTGGGTGTTTTTATTTTCTATCAGCTTGTGCGTTGGTTAGTTCTTACTGCTATATTTTATTGCTGTAGGTGTGTCTCTCTGTATACGTGCCGAGTTTTGTTTTCCATTTCACGTAAATGAACTTCTTTGGTAGTCAGTCATTTCCTACAGTTATTAACACTTTTTTAAGGATTTCGGAATGTTCCGGAATGTTCTGAATTACCTGAGTTTTATATATGATGCGAAGTAAAATGTTTGCACGGTAATTCAACTTACGTTCTTTAAGCTGAATAAGTTTACGAAATATCGTAACAATCCTTTAATTTAGATTCTTCAAAATTCAAGTATTGTTGACGTGTCCAAAAGTTTTTCGAACTTTACCGATTTTCTATACAAGGTTTGACTCGAGTGTGGCACTTTTGGATCGCAAGAATGAAACGCTGAAGTTTTATTAGTCATCCAACAAGAAAATGCAAATGAATCTATTCTTGGCACAGGATTTGGTGTTTTCATTATCCTGTGGTTTCAATTGACCTCCTAGCTTGCTTCGCGTAGTAATTGTCTTTGTTTCGGGATTTGTACTTTTTAAATCCAATTTATAAGCGTGGGTGTGTCATTATTACGTCACGTTTAGTTGTGTGATGCACACGGAAGGTTCTGACTGAGCGACGCTTAACAAGCATCACGTACTGACTGTGTGTAAGATGCCTCAGGCTATCACTGGACTGTGATATAATAGAATGCTTTCAACCTTAAACCTTTCAACCTGTTCAACATTCAAAAATTAAAATTTTCACCGAAAATACATTTTCTTATGAGGCTTCTGGATTTGTTTTCATGGTCAATCCCAATTGATATTATTACACTAGAAGGTCTGTTTTCACTGACTTGAATTCATCTTATTGTTTATCGGCAATAATTGATGGATTTAACGTGCATTTTTTTTATTTATGCAAATTAATCTTTGACAAAGAAAGGATTACTGAAAAAAGATACCGATCTTTTTATCCTAGTCAAAATGATGAATTGGATAAAAGCAATAGCAGATTGCAATTTCCCTTTCATACTTCGTATCTTTCCTATGATGTCTTTAGCTTGGATAGCTGTTCATTTCTGCAGTTTTTCAGGTACCTTTCTTTGTTGTCTTTATTGGAGTCATTCTATGACCCTAATGTTATACGTCACCACGTCTAAACACGGACACCGCTCTCTTGCAAAAATTGGGGTGGGAGGGGAGAGAGAGGGGTAAAGGAGGGAAGGGGGCTGTTGTAAGGCGGGAAATCACTCATTCTTACCCTATCCCTTAGTTTCTAAGAAAGCCTTCGTGTTACATGTACCTTACACCTTACAGGCACAAAGGCAGTAAAAGGACTTCCCTCTCCAGTAATTCTCAGTCTGAAACAGCATTGCTGCTCGTCAAATCAAAGATCGGGAAGTTGTAATGATCAACTTTCAATGTTAAATGTAATAAAATTTTGTGATCAAGATTTCTTCATAGTTATTTAGAAAGAGAGTAGTTTAGTTTATTTTATGAATGGAAGCATGAGAAAAAACGTTGTTTCTTAATATATGTCTTAATTTAAGTCACTCGTGGTTTGAAGAGTAAAATGTACGATATTCAATTTGTTCAAGTATCAACTAACATGAATTTCTATATGTAATTTAGTTGTATATAATTATAAAGGCAAGAATGTATATTTTAAACTGAGCTGTAATACCACTAATATCCTACTACTATTTATCACTGAGGTCTTACATTTTTAACCCTTTTTCACTCACGAGAATTTTCATATGTAACAGACTAAAACAGACAAGCTTTAAAAGTTTCAGAATCAGGAGTACTTAAAAGTACTCATGGAATATGTTCACTATTAGATTTTTTTGTCATAGTTCACTTCCGGAGTGCAAAAGGGTGTAACTTTAAATAATTATCTGCAAGTTAACTCGTATTTATGATAGGTTATACCCTTAAGAAGGTTAAAGAACTAACGACTTATTCAATGCTCTTTTTCCTAAAGCCCTTGTCATCAGTTAAATAAACATGAGACATTTTGATAATGTATACTTTTATATTTTGCTGTAGCACCCTCTTAATTACAGCTTTAATATCGACCCGTACAACTTAATGTTACCGGTCAAAACATTACCTGTATGGTGTCCCTTTTTCATGTATAAACATTCAACGACTTAAGTGATTAGACATTTTGTGTTCAAATGTACCAAACTCTGCAGACTGAACTGAAAAGAGCAGAAAGAACTTATCGCCTCATAAAATGACAACTATACTTTGTACATCTTTCGAAACAGAGTAACGCGAACCATTTGTATCTCCCTTTCCTAACTAAATTCTTTTGATTTGATACCTTGCCAATCTGAATGATTTTTCACTACACGGTAAACTAATTCCTTCTAAGAAAAAAAAATAATGGTCCAATTTAATTATTCAAGACTATATTTAGGCAATGAAACTGTTTCCTGTCGTCTGTTGCTACGGATGGTAAGGATGGACACTGGATGGAAATGGATTGAGACTTAAAAAAATTGGCGCCAACTTTTTCAAGTTTTAATGCCATGCCTATCAAAAGCACCAAAGAAAAAAATATTATGGTTAGTGCTTGTTGGTTTGATATCTTACTAGTTCATAACTCTACAGGAGAATTTTGTGTGTGGTTAAAGGCACTAAGTAATGACTCCAACACAGAAATGACCTAAAACCAGCCTAGTCCCTAGGCGTTCTCGGCTCGGTCAATCCTGGACTCTACCGTGAGCTGTGACGTCACCGAGAGATACATTCTCAGACTTCGCGCGGACAACGGGGCAAGAGAGAACGCCTTGGGACTAGGCTGACCTAAAACAGCAACTTATATCATCGTGACATAGCTCGTTTAGACGTCTGACTGCGGTCGAGGTGGCAGATAGTACTGTAGGGAGTTTGAGCAGCGACGTTTCATCTTGAGCAGCCGCACGTCAACCGGAAGTGAGAGTCTTTCTCTTTTAATATACCTTGACGCTACCAAATTTGTTTTGCTAAATGACTTTACTCGTATAGAGACGATTTGGCCACGAATTTGTCATTCATCTTTGCTTAAACTTCCCAGTGAACCCAGTTGAGAACGGG